GTGATAATAGTGTAAAACAAAATAAGATCAAATAGCGAAAATATATAAAAAATATAAAATTTTGATTAAAAGAAAAAAGAGGAAATAAAAGACATCATGACAGCCAAGTTAACCTAAATAAAACCAGCAAAAGTAAAATAATATTAATGAAAATTGAGTAAAATGTACTTAAAGAAAATAATAAATTATTTAAATTAAGATGAAAAATAAAATAAAATACAACAGTATGAAATGAAATAAAATTGAAAGAAATATTATATATTGAAAACAACGAAATCAAATCAAAAGAAATCAGCTGGGACTACATAAAAATAAAATAAATTATTAAAACTTTACAAAATGAAATAAAGTGATATAAAATTAAGAAAAAAAATAATAAGGTTAATAAATAAATAATATTAAGGTAAAATAAACCAATGAAACCATATAAAAAATAAAATTTAATTTAATGAAAAAATAAAAGAAATAAATAAGTAAAATAAATCAAATAACATTAAACAAATAGAATAAATTAGAAAGGCAGAAAATTATAGAAACAAATACAACCAACGAAAATAAAATAAAAGGATATATAAAAAAATAAAAAATAAAATTCAATAAATTAAATTAAATTAAATAAAAAAATAATGCGTAAAATTTGAAAAAAAAATAAATAAAATAATGCCGCGGGTCGCGACTAATGAGAAAGGAATCTTCAGTGGAACCACTCCGACTTATTCGGTTTGGGACCCGCCACGTAGAAATCAGCTCCAATGAAGATTAAAACCCCGGATGAAAGACCCCCTTTCTGTTGAGGACCCCCGCAAAAGAATTAAGTATCACGATTTGAGGGCATGCACCTGAAATGTCCGATCCCTTAATTGGGAAGTTGCCGATGCCTAGGTGTTAGAAGTCCTCCTAAGAATAAAGGCTGAGATCACCGCCGGACGAAACTGAGTAAGCTCCTGTTACATTCACTATAGCGGCCATATAAAGCAGCGCAAATTTGGTGTTGGATTTGTGGTGAGAGAGAGAGGGACTCCGTCGTTGACTGCCATTTATTCCGGTGAATGAGCGTCTCACCACAATCAGCATTAAAGAGAAATTTCTCAACATATCTGTCGAAGGCGGCGTTAAATAGACAGAGGTCTCACGACCTGGTCATAGTCTGATAAGACCTCTAACGCTGAAAATTGGAAGGCCTTAAAGACATTAAAAAAGTAGTAGTCGACGAAAGCTCTACTACTTAACTTTCAAGTCAACTTCGTGGCTGCAGTGGACAGACGGGAAGTCTTGTTTAAGAGACAAAAGTCGGTAGAAGAGCAATACCCTCAATCGAGAAAATCACGTTCGGCATACAAACCCAATTTAGCGGAAGTCGCAAAGAACAGAATTCTGCTAGGAATTCTAGACAGGGAAAGCGAATCCGGAGCAATTCCAAGGGATCAATGGAAGTGGGTAAAGGCAGCCTTGGCAAACGTCGTTCGGGCGTTTTGCTGGAACCATTCCCGCCTTTAAGAATGCCAAATGGTTCCAGGACAACTTTAAGGTTGCCGCTTGCGAGGACACGCGGTCAGTACTGCAATATAAAGGGCAGGAGAAGTCTACCCTAGAGCGAGGCATGAGGTAGTGGAATGGAAGGGCATTCTGGTCCGACCTCGGCCAAAGACTTGGGGTCCGGTCAAGCATTTTGAAATTGCTACAAATCACGAAATCCACCTTTCCGACAAGAGGTTGGATGGTGAACAAGGTTGAAGAAGCAGAAGGGCCGAGAAATCAAGTAGCTCCCTCGTTCCACAAGTAGTGGAAGTGGACTTTCTGGAAATAAGAAAATTCTGAGTGTAGTATGGACTGGATGAGATTATCGCGGTAATGCGCAGGGCACCTCTTGCCCAGGCGTTCCGATGGATACGGAAATTGACATCGAGGCGCCTGAGCAAGAGCTGAAACTCTCCGATGCTGAGAGTGGTGCCTCGTCTCAACCAAACCATGCAGAGGCTCTGCATTGCTTGTATGTAGAGGTGAAACTGCTGTATATCGACAAAGAGTTCACAGCTGACGTCACCTTAGCAACCAACATCCAAATGTTATTGAAAATTAATTTAAATAAAAAAACAAACCAAAAAGACCCATTAGCCGTTCGGAGGCGGCTTAGTGTAAGCTGTAGATCCCTCCATCAAGACGTAAAACCATAAATCGGAGGAGGAGATCGGCCGAAAAAAATATATATATATATGATTTGACTTGAATCCGTCTACACGTACATGATGTATGACACAATCGACACTCAATGCGGCAATACAAACATCAACGAAAAAAGTGCTACTAAGCAGGGTTATAAACTCGCACCTAGAAGGATATCAAGTATCCAGGTATGTAACCAAAGGCATTCCAAATGGTTCTCTCCCCATTGCTCTGGAATCTCACACTAAGCTTGCTATTAACGCAAACGGAATGGAGTAAAGGCAAAGCAATTGCCTACGCCGATGATATCGCTGTTGCATGCAGAGGAAAGTTTCAACCAACCCTCTGTGACTTAATGCAAGGAACACTAAGAAAATTATCGTCCTGGACTACCAAATGAGGTCTCTGTGTCAACTCCAATTAGGTGGATTCCAATACTATACATAATAGAAGATACAAGATCCCCGCTATCAACCCACCAGTACTGCTCGGCGTTCAACTTAGTCTGAGAGCAAAAGCTAAATTTCTAGGAGCCATCTTAGACAAGAATCTTAACTGGAAACATAATATTATTCGAAGATACGAAAAGGTTGCTACGACCCTCTATATACACGTGCAAAAGAGCAATAGGTAAGAAATGGGGTCTAAACCCCAGGACTTGCGAATGGATCTACTTCTCAGTAACAAGACCAACACCCTCTTACGGTGCGATCGTGTGGTGGTGGCCAGCTATAAATAAAGCTTCAAATGCTAATGTATATCGATGGCGCACTAAGAAGCCCACCAAGTGAGGCTTTAAAAGTGGCACCCAATATTTTTCCAATGGATTTGGTGGTACATCAATCGGCAATGCTTGCACTTCGTGGAAGAGAGTCAAATGAATGGTCTACCTAGGTATAGGGACACTCGACAACATTGGGTAAATACGACTTCATTCCAAGCAGGGAAGAATGGACAGGTAATTACGAAACTCCAAATGATAGCCTGGAAATATACACGGACAGGTGAAATATTGAGGGAAGAGTTGGCAGAAAACCCTGCAACGGAACTCTCGTTCAGGCTACCTGACCATTTCAGTGTTTTAAAGGCGGAGATATCTTCTATGATGGAGACGGCAAAGCAAATTGGAGCCAACTGTAAAGGTAAAGATATCTTTATTTTCAGCGATAGTCAAGCAGCAACAAAAGCACTGGGCTCGCTTACGCCAAACTCCAAATTAGTGCTGAACTGTCGCCGATCTCTACAGGAGATTATTAACTTGCTAGGTGAAGTGTGACCAAGTAGATTATTCTCGATGAAGAGCGCATTGTATGAATTCATATATGAACAATCCACTACAAGGTGGAATCACATCACAACTTGGCACAAAACCAGGCTGATATGGCTGAAATGGGATCAGAAGAGATCACGAGATGCGTGCTCTCTAAAGATAGGCGACATGTCCAAAGCTATAGTAGTTCTGACATGCTACTGTCTGGCCACGCAGAAAGATTAGAAGCTCCCTATAGAAGTTGCTGTAGCAGCTGCGAGGAGGTTGAAAAGTAGGTCTCTTATGCGACTATCCTGCTTTGAGCAGGAAAGGTTTCGTACTTTTGGGACCCTACTGCTGGATGGTCTATCGATGATAGCTGACGTCAATGTCATGGTTCTAATGATGTTCATTAGAGAATCAAAATGGATGGAGGTTGAAACCTGATGATTTAAGTTTTTTGTGGCATCGCAATAGGTCTGAGTCAGGCCTAAGTGAATACAACTTGATAGCTCGGCAGCCACTGCAACCTTAACTTATATAAGAAAAAAATAAAGCAAGATAATATCAAATAAATGAAATCAAATAAAAAATAAAACTAACTTACAATACTAAAAAAAATAAAAAATTGATATAAAATAAAATTGTAAATATAAAAAGAAAAATAATACAAAAATAAAATAAATACAAATATAAATGAAAAGAAAGAAAATAAAATGAAATGCTATAATTTAAAAATGATTAAATAAAAATAAAATAAATAAACTGATCCGTTTCACATTATTTACAATGTCATATTATTGAAGAAGGGCGGTCAGGTTACTGCTTTATGCATGTCTGTATCTGAGCCAAAAGCAAACCTTATTTCAAGCTCTTATAAGCAAATGATTTCCTTCAAAACATATTTTTTAAAAGTAAATAGTTTCGTTTTGTTGCCCAATTATTGTGCACATTTCTATTTAAATATTTTTTTTATTTCATTTTTTCTTTTTTATTTTTTATTTTTTATTTTTTGGCCTTTGGCAATGAAGGTAAGGGATATTTTCACCTTTGTTTTTTTATACATGCATATTCATACATACATATTCATGCAAACTTATTAAACGTTGGCCTCAGTAGCCGATAGGTTAGCAATGCGTACTTCCACACGGTAGGTGGTGAGTTCGAATCCTGATCACAATGACATAAAGCATTAAATTTTTGAAATTAAATTTCATCGGTCCTTGAGAAGGGATGTCAACCCTCCCTAGTGTATTTCCACAATAAATAAAAGCTTTTCACAAAAATCCGTCAGTTGTACGGAGGTAGCTAATAGTAAATTGTTGGTGCTTCCATTATTTGTAGAATCATTTAGGCGCACTCCAAAAATGTCAGAAGCACCTCGGCCGAAAATCGCTTCTGCGGTTCCAAGCGCTATTCATATATACATGTATCATGTATATATATATATATATATATATACAGATAGTTATTTAACAAGTTTTTTACTATAAAAGCACAAACACGTATTCTGGCATATTTAATTTTTTTTTTTTCTATTGAAAAACAAATACATATATTGAGTTACTGTTTCTTTGTTTATATCAATGAAAGTAAAAACTTCTATTTGTTTAACATACAAAAATTATTTCAATGAAATTAATAAATATTTAATTAAATAGGCACAGTTATACCGCGGCGTTGGCAAAAAACCTGGTATAAATATCACTTGAGAAGCCATTGGTGGTGTAGTAGAAAATAACTTTCTTCTTCGTAGCATAATAATCGACTAAGAAAATGAAACTTCTGCCTATACTTTTTGCAACGGTTTTGGTTCTCTCGATCACAACCATATGTCGAACTCAAACAACACAAAATAGTGCAGACTCTAGTGCAGCCGCTACAACGGCAAGTGGTTCGGATTCAACCACAGCAGCAACATCAGATGCAGAATCAACCACAGAAACGGCTGCTGATGACGACACAACAACCCCTGCGGCCACCACATCATCATCGTCGTCATCTAATTCTGCCGTAGCCAGGTTAAGAAGGAGGTTAAGAAGACTAAAAAGGCAACAAAGACGTGCAGCGAGAAGAAGAAGAAGACGTGCAAGAGCTGCACGTAGAAGAAGATTAGCTGCCCAAAGAAGAAGAAGAAGACGTAGGCAGAACTAAAGTCGTACAGCCAAAAGAGTTGTCGGTGGTTATCCGCGGCTAACCGCATTTTTTCTAGGTTCATTATACACATATTATTGTACCCATGTAAATTCTAATTGAAATATATAGAACTGTTTTCTAAATTCGGTAGTTCCATCTAATTCTGACAGCAAAGAAACAATATTATGCCCGTTTTTAGGGATCTTGCGCAGGCAAACCGTTTGCCGCCTGGATCCAGTAACAAGTTTCTATTGGAAACTGAAGATTTTCTCTAATGTGAAGTTTTTCTCTAATGAAACCAACAAAAAAAATTGCATAGCTCATTCTCCACACAGCTCCTCTAATGTAAGTCAGGAAGAAAATTCTCACCCGGTCGGAAGAATCATACGATCACGCACATTATGGCTTTAGCCCAGCCCTCGTGAAAGTAAATGCTACCAAATTCGTATACCTGATTACTTGAACCCAGGAAACTCCTCCATCAACTCTTCCACGTCTCGTGGTATTCAAATGTGAGTTTGAGAAAAGCACTGTTATTTGCGTTCAGGAAAAAATTAGACCCCTACAGAATCCTTGCATTTCCGGGCATCGAAAGGAGCAATGTCAATCGGGACTATATTCGGCGAGACATTGTTGCTCACTCCAGCACAGAATGCCTGGAGTCATAAACTGCATCGCTGTACAGCTGTCGTCTTTTCTGCCGTTGCCTCAACCTCACCTCCTGGCAGTATTAGCTAACTACAATCGAACGGAGAGACGCATCAACAATTTTCTACCTCCTTGTGAATAATTAAAACTTATTGTGGTTAACGATAAGTCCGCTTCGTTTCGTCCAATTAGGTGTCTGGTGGAAGTCCTAGCTAGGTTAAACCGGGTACAGAACTCAGGGAGTTTCCTTTAATAATGAAAGCAACGCCGTTAGAGTAGGAGATAGCCAGGAATTTGCGCCTCACAAATTTGTCATGTAATCGCTAAAACCCTCAGCAGAGACATGAACCTATCATGACTCTTAATTTTGGAAACTGGAAACTGGCCTATGGCGAATAACAGAAGCTTTCCAGCGCTCTGCAAACACTTATTCGTACCAAAATGATGATCTAGCGAACGAAATACGGGAAGAAAGTTATGTAAATACCACTAACTCAACTTGACTTGGTGAGCCCGAGACCCAATGCGTTTGCGATGAAATCGAGGGATGTAACCGATGATGAATAGTGATTAGACATTTTTGTGAGAAATGTTGGCAACAGCGAAAACCTGACGACGAGGTTGAGTGGGCAACAATAATGAAAACAGTACTTGTAGCACCAACAGTATTACCCAACTTGTCACCTCCACTTTTACTAAACACAATATGTATGCGCGTATGTACATACGTACACCAAGTTGATGTTACTAACGCCGATGTAAACAAAAATCGCAAGGCAACAACTTAACAGCAAAGTCGAACTACTTAAGATAAAACAAAATATGTTTTTGGGTGCACCCGAGGTGTGGTGTGGTTCAGCCGAACTGGTTACGAACCCACTCGCACTAACGGACGTAACGAGGGTGGTGACACTGTCGGCACGACAAAACGTACGCAAACAATAAATAAATAAAATGATACTTAGCGGTTGCTCGGTCGGGTGTGCGTCCCGACTTCGGTGCTCCTCCATATGATGCCGTCCAACTTTCGGTCCCGCCACTACAAGTCGGCACAGCTATACCTATATGTGGTAATTCTGGAGCTTCAACAGCCCTTTTCTCACAAGCACTATTCCATTAAAAAATCAGGCTTCAACTGCCTTCTCACTTCTAATTGCCCCGTCTGGCAAAACACTACACTATCCTATCTCTATATAATATATTATCTTATTTTTTTCTAAAAAGGCGCACGTCACTCATTTGTAGATTGGGAGAATCTGATCCGGCACGCACTTACGAGCCAGGCCGCAAGCTACGCGTCGGCCTTTAAAATTCTACTGCGAGTGTGTATTGGTGCCCTATCATTTGGCGCCGCCCCCTTTACCCAAAGGGACCGGGTTGTATAGCGCACGCCACCATGGCACACCAAGTAAACTGGGATATATTTTCCCCTAGCCGCTTTAAAGAAAACAGCGACACCCCTTTTTACGGAATTCCCGCGCAAAGCATTCCGTTGCCATAATATTTGTTAGTAGAGGAACCGTTTTAGGGAGCACCTCCTTTTGGAGACTTATACCACTGGGTAGGCACACACCGAATGTAACCGTGCCATCAATCCATGGCTTCAAATAATACAATTATTTGCCGACAGATGTCACTGCCAACGCTTGGAATGAAATGGAGCTTAGGCAAAACAAAGGAAATCATTTCGCATTCATTCAAGCTTTCAATTAATAGAACAACTGAATCAACTGAAGCTCTAAGAGAAAATATCTCTTTAATAATAACTAGCGCTCTTTGCTGAATTCTCGCTGTTGATATATTTTGTATGACTCGTAGTTCTTCGAAGCAACGGTTATGCGTGTGAGTAGGTTCAAGGTGTTCTTGCAAACTAAAATTGAAATTTTTTGAAGAAAGCGCTTTTATTAATCAATTATGTATTCGCCATCATGTTCGGCAATCCACTCCCAACGTTCAACCAATTTACGGATGCCTGATTCATAGAAATCGCGCAGCTTCTCGTTGAAAAATGTGTCAAGGTGGTTTTTGACGTCTTTCACATTTTTAAATTTTTTTCCATTCAAATTGTTCTGCAGCGATCGAAACAAATGA